CTGTTGTAGTGTTAAAATTCGTTGTAATTACATTAAGACTCGAGAGGGCTGTGTAATTCTTAACAAAGTAGAACCATATTCAAATTTCATGGATGGTTAAGTTCATGGGAGTTGGATGCAAATAAATAGGGAAATATACTTTTATGGGCGTAGAATTGGAGATTTTAGGGTGACAGACTAAAATCTCCAATTTGGTCTTATTGTTTGAGTACTGAAGCAGAGATTTTAGCCCTCAGGCGAGGGGAACGTGGGAGCTCCAAAGTGAGAGTCGGTATCCTCCCAGCCTAGCCACGGATTAAGTAAACAAGCATAGGATTAGTCAATGTTCTTTATGCTTGGACAAAAGGGTAAAGAATATGATTGCTCATATTTTGCACATACAATATTTAATACATCTCATTCCTTTATATTATCCAATTCATTACATAAGAATAGTAATTTTTAATATCTCAAAGTTCTCCAAACCAATTCATCCAAAAAGGGTTATCTTTAGAATTGATATTTGCATTTAGTTATAGTTACTATCTTTACATTTAACACTTGCATTTAGGAGTAGTTACTAGATAAAACTTCATTTTCATCGACATTTCAAACTAATGAGTAATTGTAGTAGACTAGAATTTGACAAAGGACCTCTTACCTCGCTTCCCTGTGGGATCGATAAACGGGACTCCACTAGAGCCCTGTATTACTTGAGCGATACGTATACTTGCGTTTGAAATTGTGACTTTACAAAATCATTATAAATAAATAAATCTGAATTCATAAATTCTTGAATATAAATAGTCGCATCAAGTTTTTGGCGCCGTTGCCGGGGATTTAAATCTTCTAACAGTGATATCAAATTCTTGTATTTTTAAGCATATATAAAGTCGCTGTCACCAGCGCATTGATGCCATTTTGTTAGTACTGCTCCTCGCGCAAACTAAAGTTATTTTGGGGGTTTCAACGATGATTCAACCATTAAATTAGAGAATTTCTTCATGGAAGGGGCTTTTGGATGTTTGGAGGAGACCAACAGTTGGAGAGCATAGGAGTAGGACTTGAAGGAAACATTGAGTGTGAATGTATGTGCACATATGTGATTTGTGTGGAGAGAATTGAGAGAAATAAAAAAGAATCAAGGAGATCGAGAGGAGCAATTGGATTGAAAAAATTTCAATCTGTGTTGTATGTTTCTTTATCTTTATAACTTTGATTTTCTATTAATGAAATCTTGTATGTTCACTTTTAGAATGTTTAGGAAATAAATCTTTCTTCTTCTCCTCTAATGTGAAGATTTATGTTCATTTCAAGAAAATCCTTTAGATGATTTGGATTCATGTTGGTGTATTAACTTTTCAAACTTCAACTGTTTTCTTGTTGGACAAGAGAAAATGTTAAAATCACTTTTGGTCTAGGAATATTGATCGTAGACTATAACAAAATGTTGTTTTTAACACTCTTTTTATTGGTGGAATTAGAATATTACCATTAGAAGATTGCAATCA